CAAGAGCCATTTGGACTTCTACACCAAGATACTATGCAAGTTCCCAGAGCAGAACAAGAGACTTTCCTAAAGTTAAAAATCACTTGGCTTTCAAAAAAAATCTTACATTTCTTCTGTGAGCCATAGAAAACTCCAGCAGAACAGAATGGTAGTTATATGAATGGATAACAAAGAAGCCTTTGGGCTGGCTAGGTCACAGTGGGTTACCAACAGCCTTTAGGAGAAGTCATTTATTCTCTGCAGGCTCTGCGAAAAGGAAGGGGGGAGAGAGAGAAGAGGGAGGAAGAGAGAATTTTACAAACATTTGAAGGATTTTATCTAAAAAATCAGGATTGTTTGTTATCAGAAATATGAGGTATTTTCCAGTGCATCTGCAGCCAGTTCTACTTTTACATGCATATTATATGAAAACAACACTTTGTAATTTGGACAGAGTTTGAGCCAAGGCATTTTACCAATTCCTGGTACTAGCTGAGGAGTCAGCTGAATCAATAGATTGCCAAGCAACCAAATGACCTGGCTTGAAATTTAACCGCCTCACGTCTGGTGGGATCTGATAGAACTTCTAGCCAAGAAACCTCTGCTTTGGCAAAGCTTTCTGTTTTCTCCTAGTCACACTGTGTAACAGTTTCCTTTTTAGTTTTGTGTAAATGCCCATTTTGGTTCAAATAAGACTTGGTGTTAAACTGAAGATTTATGTTAAACTGGGAGCATTCCTTGCCTAAGAAAACCTTATGAAGTTCATGGAGTCACCATAAGTTGACAGGAAAGTTGAAGCCACACATATTAATTTCCATGGGTCGTGACAAACAATCCCAAAGGTTTATGTAGCTTTGATCACACTCAGGCTAAAATAGTTACTCCCTCCTTTTTCTTTTTTCTAATTCCACATTTGATTCAATGTTTCAGGCAATCTTTGATTATTATTTTTTCTCCCTACAGAATGAAAGTGAAAAATGGGAGCTAATATTTGGGGGGTGCACTCTGCACTTATTTATTTATTTTATTATTTATTTGGAGTGCTTCTACCCCGCCCTTCTCAACCCCCTAAGGGGGACTCAGGGCGGCTTACAAAACGCACAATTCGATGCCTAACAATTCACAAAACACAATGTACAAATTACAATAAAACATCAACAATTATGATTAATTAAAACAATCGAAAACACTACAATAGCAGCAGTAAAATCATCTTGTGGTCAAAAGTTCACCAATTCATAAATCCGTGATCCATCTCGCATTGTCATTGTCCTTTCTTACTCTGGTCATCATTGTCATTTGTCCACTTAACATTTTCTTTGAGAAAACCACAACTTGTTGGTTTGTTTGCTTGTTTGTTTTGTTTTTAAAAAACAATTTGGTTAGAACCAATAATTAGAGAGAGCAATATAATGGTGGTGGTGGTGGAGGAGGAGGAGAAGGAGGATGATGATGATGTCTGGATTCTCCCCTCCTCGCAATTTTGTAATCATGATCTTCATGTCACTCAATCTATATAAATAAAACTGTCATGTTTGTTTCCGGGATTAATATAACTCAAAAACCACTGGACGAATTGACACCAAATTTGGACACAATAGACCTATCAGGCCAACGAGTGACCATCACTCATAAAAACACTGAAAAACACAGTGGAAGAGACTTAAAAAGTCAAAAATAAATATAAAAATGCATTACACCACATTCACAAAACAACATATATACACATATATACACACATAAAACACATATACACAGACGGCCGCAGCAACGTGTGGCAGGGGATGACTAGTTCTTTATGAAATGATAATTTTTGGTAGAAATAGGCCAACGTGGGTTGAGATCTACTTTTATGTGTCTGTGTGAATTCTCTACTTCCAGCTCTCAAAGGTTCTGCTGCCTCAATTTCCTTTGGTGGGTCACTAGGAACTAAAAAGGTCTTTTGAACGGTGGTGACTGCTAGTCCCTGTCTAAAATGACACTGCCCTCTCCTTTAGCAACTCTAATGGCACCAATCACTGCTTAATATCAGAACTGTTGTGCAGCATATAATGGTAATGCAGACAATGGGAGAAATATTAACTGTGGGCTTGGCAACTGATGCAGCTCACCTTGTGATCAAAAGCACATTTAGCAATGAGACATTGAAATCTAACATTCCTAAAGTTGTCCACAAATCCATAGGGTTATGGGAGTTATGAGGGTTAGGGGAGTTAGAGTGGAAAAAGAAAAGTCGGGTGAAGGAATCAACCAATGGGAGTACAGGTGACAGGAAGTCAAGAAAAGCTGTTGGCTAATATAAATATGGAAATATGTATACATATATTCACATACATGCTAGGAAGAAAAAATGCAATCATTGCAGTTGTGTAACCAAAAATAATCAATTACAGTGCGAATGCCCTTTCCTAATAAAACAACTTTAGGGTGGGGAAACTGTGGTTTTCAAAATCAATTTGATTTCAGATCAAAATGAGTGAGTATGACGTTAATGGGGTCAAACTAGGGCAGGATGCTTCACAATGGAGCTTGAATATAGACCTCGTGTGAATCTAGCCATTAAAATCAGACCACAGACCCAAATAAATTAGAAACACATGAATAACATTTGGAAATCAACAGTTCCATCCAATTAGAACTTCCGAACACCAGTTAGTTTAAAAGCCAGACTCCTGTCCAAATAAAAGCATCGTTTGTGTTGTAGTTGAAATGCATCAAAGAGGGATCTGGCCTGATCAGACATAGCAGGGAGTTCCAGAATCTGGAAAAAGCCAGTGAGAAGGAAGGTCCTTTCTTGCATTCCTGCCAAAAGTATTTCTGATGGTGGGGGGAGGGAGGAAGGAAGGGAGAGAAGGGTCTTTACTGAGCTTCTTAAGCAGGATCAGATGAGAGAATGCAGCATTTGCTCTTTATAACCTCTCTTGTTCCACAGATTTTGGAATAAAATACCCACTTTGTAATTTCAAGTGACATTCCCTTCTGTTCATGTGTTGTATCTGTCAATGTAATTATTCTATTTTTTCTGTGTAAATTGCAGATCTTATTACTTTAGTAGGCTTGTAGGTTTTGGCTGAACCTTGAGCCGTTGCTGGTCAGATTCCAGTAGACCCCCGTATCCGTTTTCACGGGTGGGTAGCCAGATAGCCATTTTTGTTTCACAGGCAAAAAATATGGCTAGATCCAGCTCATTGGTGGCAATGGGAAACTTATGAGGCTTCCCTTTCTGTTCCTGGAACCCTTTCCTTTTTTTCCCTTCAAGGCAGCCTGGGTTTCAGCAACAAGGTTAAGGAAGAAGACACAGCTTGCATAAGACATGTTACAGCGTTCTTCTATTCCGATTGGCCCAGCAGGCAGGACTTACAGGGAAACCCCATGCGAGCAGCACACGGCAGCCTCTTTGCATGCTGCATGATGCCATATAAGCATCATATAAGCATCATGTAAGCCGCACCGAGTCCCTTGGGGAGATGGTAGCAGGGTACAAATAAAGTTTTATATTATTATTATTATTATTATTATTATTATTATTACTATTACTATTACTATTACTATTATTATATATAGAAGGAGGAGCTGTGTTTGGCTGCCACGTCGTCCTATAACGGACGAAAAATGGCTAGGCCCTTGTTGTTGTGGCCATCTGACCATGGGGACATCCCTGTAAAATAACTATTTTTCTATTGTATTGTCGAAGGCTTTCATGGCTGGAATCACTAGGTTCTTGTGGGTTTTTTCGGGGTATAGAGCCATACTTATTTTACATACATATATTTTTCTACTGTCAAAATATTTATTTTACTCTTTATACATACCCTTCACTTGGAGAAGTTGTGTCCTAAAGAGTTAAGAAACACTCGGGTTGTTTGGGAATGTTAAGCAACCTCAAATGGTAACAACATAAGTGGATCACGGCACGGTCCTGCCCCACAAAAGGCTGTGATTCACAGTTTCCAGGAGTTGGATAATAGAACGACAACACAAAAACAGAAACCATATGGACCACAGGAGTCTCGTGGGAGACTCTGTTCCCCTGTGTATTTATTGCTCACCATTACATCTGAAAGCAGTCATCGTTGTAAGAGAAGATGCCAAACATGTAACCAAAGGTGCAAAGAATGTCTAAGGCCAAGCCGTACCTTCATGACGTTTACATTTGCTTGTTTGTTGGCAGCCATGCTACTTTGTAGCTGGTTATCATCTTGTTACTGACTCAGATTAATCTCAGCCTTTGCCAGCATTAATTGCAGCAGCAGATTGGCCACTTACACAATAAATAATAATAAAAATGATCAATTTACTTATTTATACCCTGCCTTTCTCCCCAAGGGGACTCGACACAGCTAATAGCCTCATACTTTGATCAATTTAAAACAAAGCAAATACAATTTTACTTATAAAACTAGTTAAACAATACTGTGTGTTGGGCTATAAATGAAGATAAAATACAATAAATACAATTAAAATGCATTTTAACCACCCCCCATAACACCAAAAAAGAGGAAAAGCAACACACACACGCACACACACGCACACACAAAATTGAAAAGGACATGTTTGCCTAAACTTTGCATATGCTAATATATAAGTATATAATACAGAAGCAGAATTTGCTTGGTATAGTTCTCGGGCTCTCAGAAGCCCACCTTAGGAACCCACTGAGGAACTTTAAGCAATACTCAGAAAGTGGTAATTTTGTGACTAATATGAAATCAATAAATGAGTTCATTGAAGAGTTTGTGTATGGCCAGTGATGTTTTGGACTGTGGTACTTTTTAAAAGGAAATAAAGAAAGCCCAGAACCATGACTATCAGCACTCTAGTAGATCATGTGGCAACCTGCTTTTGAAATTCTCTCCCATTACAAATGTGGTGTATTGTATGTATGTGCACTTTTTCACTTTGCTAAAGAATAACAAAAATACCCATTGAGGCATGTGATAATAATGCAAAATTCATTCTTACTACCTGTTTTGTATTTCATTTTTGATTATCTGATTTTGTTCTCTTTCTTCACATTTTAGGCACGTCCAAAAGGAGAAGGTTTAACACCATACCAGGGGAAAAAACGCTGTTTTGGTGAATACAAATGCCCAAAGTGCAAGAGAAAATGGATGAGTGGAAACTCCTGGGCTAACATGGGTCAAGAATGTATCAAGTGCCACATTAACGTTTATCCTCACAAACAGGTAAGACGGTTGCAGAACTTGATTCAGACAGCAAAATGTATACACTGGAAGAAGTAGGATGGTGGAGACAGTCTGAGGTCATACAATGGAAATCTGAAATATGATAGAACACGGAAAAATATGGTGCATACAGCCTCTGAACCTCATTGTTTTCAATGGAGCCCCCTGAAATTTCCCTAGAGTCCCTGCCTCCGCAGCAACCCCCCTCCAAAAAAAAAACCTTGCAAAAACCTGAAAACAAATTTTCCTTTCCTGTTTTTGAATTGAATTGTATTATATTATATTATATTATATTATATTATATTATTATTATATTATATTATATTATATTATATTATATTATATTATATTATATTATATTCACAGTGCAGGAGACAAGATGGAACTGCCTTCCTGGCCCCTCTCTTCACTCTGATCTCAGAGCAGCGGTTGGTGCTGGGGGGGGGGCTCCAACTGATGACAAAGGAGGCAAGATGGATACTAAACCCAATAATAAAATTTGCGACAGTCTAACAAAACTATCTACAGACCCACCAAGAAAATCCAACAAATGCTATGTTCAGCAAAGGACAAGAGGGATCCTCTCATTTCTGCAGGAGTCTACCGTATACCATGCAGCTGTGGACAAGTCTACATAGGGACCACCAAATGCAGCATCGCCCAAACACGAATCAAGGAACATGAAAGGCACTGCAGACTACTTCAACCAGAGAAATCAGCCAGAGCAGAGCAACCTGGACACAGCATTTTATTTGAGAACACAGAAATGCTGGATCACTCTCACAACCACCATGTCAGACTACACAGAGAATCCATTGAAATACACAAGCATGTGGACAATTTCAACAGAAAGGAGGAAACCATGAAAATGAACAAATCTGGCTACCAGTATTAAAAAACTCTAAAATTACAACAGCACAACAACAGAGAGGAAACAAACAAGGACATCTAATCACCTCTCAACAAAAGTTTGCTCTAGGACACTGTCAGGCCATTATATGCTAATCAAGGTGGTCATTTGAAACATTCACACCTAGCTCCAGCAGACAAGAGTCCTTTGTCCCACCCTGGTCATTCCACAGATATATAAACCCTTTTTCCTAGTTTCTAACAGACCTCACTACCTCTGAGGATGCTTGCCATAGATGCAGGCGAAATGTCAGGAGAGAATGCCTCTAGACCATGGCCATATAGCCCGAAAAAACCTACAACAACCCAGTGATTCCGGCCATGAAAGCCTTCAACAATACATTTAACAAAAGAATGTTCATAAGTTCAGTTGTTCAGAAGATATGGATTTATAACAACTGTAGCATTCCGTACACTGAAAAATGGAATTCCTGTATGTTTTTTCTTCAGGAGATGTAGTACAATACATTTCGATATGCAGAAAATTGTTGTGACAGAAGTGTTCCGAGGGCAACTTAAAAAATCCAGGCAACAAGCTATTCAACAAACTACTTTTAGCTGTTCTTATCTCTACCAGGGATCAGTTTCGTGTACAGCTAATAGGTCATTATTGTCCATTCAAGACAAGGCCAGCTTGCACATCTGGTGTAACTGGAGAAAATTCTTCCATCACCAGTTATTTTGAGCCCAGGAGACCTTAGGGGAGTGGGGGACGGGGGACTGGATATGTGAATGTGAAAAACAATGCTATTATCTGGATGGTTAGACTCAATGCCCTTGTGGCTTTTGAATCTAAATGAAGTTCAGCATACTTCAGTTTACAGATAACTATATAACAGGGAGGAAGATTGGGAGAGAATCTACATCCTAAGAAGTTACTTTGGAAAGGCATGTGAAGTAAAGGAACAGAAAAAGACCATCCGTGAGAGTAAAGCAAAGACCTCCCTTAGCCATAGAAAATACTTCAGTGCTGAGATGAAGCGTTCAGATTAATTTAAAGTAGGTCAAAATGAAAACTGATCCATTACAAATGAGACTGGAGGCTGTGTGACTAGCAACTGATGACACCATGCCAGAAATCCAGAATCCATTCCAAAGCACAGTCTCTACTCCCTTGCTGGCAGTGACAGCCAAAGCACCATGAAAGAAATTCCTTGTCTAATTCTCCAAGATTATTATTGGGGTTCAGAGAAAGGGCTTTGACTGTTAGATTATACCAGACATTTTGATTAATGGCTTGTTTGCAGGATTAAATATATGATTGGTTTGGGAGCTGTTGCCCTCGTTTGGCATATCTTTTACACAGCAAAGGAACAGAGGTGTGCTTTGGCAACTTTGCCTTTCTCAGAGTCATAGGTTAAAAGGTAAGACAGGAGATTTCAATATGCGGGGGAAAGCTAAGTGATTGCATTGGAGCCCTCAAGATTCGCAGCATAGCTTGGAAATCTGTTCTTGAAAATATTCAGGCAGACATGCCGTGTATTTGAGAGCATTTTATGTTGGTTTGTAAATATATATATTCGAAAGTCGCTATGACAACTGCAGCAACACAAGTCAAATATTCACCACCACCCTATTTCATGAAACATAGAAGCTGTAAGGTGGCTAGAAATATAGGTGTTGCAGAGGAATAATCATGTGTGGACTGAAAAATGGAGTGAGGTTATGGTTTTTCTCATTCCTATAAAAAAGCAACCCTGAAACCTCTCACCCCGGTTTTCTAGAAACAGAGAAATGTACTTAGCAGTAAATGCTTGGAATATAGATTCTGCAAGTGTTTCCAATATGAGCGATCTCGTTAAATTTTTGGATGCCTAGTTGCAATATGAGAATAACTGTTCATATTCATTTTTCCATACACAGGAAATTTATATATACTGTTACCTATCTGCCGTCTGAACAGGACAGTGCAACTAGCTCTCTCTCTCTTACTGTCTGATGGTAGTAGAGATAGTTGGGAAGTCACAATCATACCAGCCACAAGCAAATCAGTCCATTTCTGGTCGTCCTTACACATGCTCACCTATATGCTCATTTTATCCTGCTTCTGTATTCATCTTCTGTGTCATAAAATTGTTCATAAATTCACATACAAAGATACATTTTTTGTTTTCTCAATCATGCTTATCTCCTTTGCATCCGTAGAACGCACCTACGATTTGTTGTTGAAAGGCATAAGTTGGTTGAAAGGATACAGTACATGACAAGTTGAACCTGTCAAGTGTCCATGCCAGCTCTTTCTCTTGAACTTTTTCTCACATGTATTCAAAGTACTGGAGCCCTTTGTATTTTTACTGTAACAATCTTAGGTCAAGGACGAGATGGTTCTCTCTCCCCACTCTTCCTATAAAAGATAACTGGACTGGAATTATTGTTAAACACTAGTGACTGTATCTCTATCACTTTTGTGGCACCTCCCTCCTGTCCTTTAGAAGACAACTAAAGACTTGGCTTTGGGATCAGGCGTTCAACTAGAGGTTAGCGGCAACTTGGATAGGAAATTTTTGAACATTGCGACATTGGATTTACCTGGCTGGATCTTGGATTTAGTGGCACGTTAATTTATTGTTAATGAATTTGTTAATGTATTGTATAATGTTTTAAATTGAATTTTACAGTTTCAGTTGAAATTTTTATTGTATATATTGAAGCTTATGTGAGGCCGCCTTGAGTCCCCTTTGTGGGGAGAAGGGCAGGGTAGGAATGAAATATATAATAATAAATAAATAAATCTGTGTTACGGGGCATATATTAGTGCTGCCAACCGAAGGAAACAACCAGGGGTCAAGAGGAACAGCCAAGGGCTGCCAGTACTACTTCCCAGTTTCTGATGCTTAAGCGGATTGTGTTCTTATACTTACTTAATGATAAGAAAATGCTGTTTCCTGCACACACAAAACCACATCCAAATCCTTGCTCCCGAAAGCAATTGTTTCATCTTTGATGTTAAAAAAAAAAATCCTAATGTATCTTTGTCCCCAAATATCAAGTTGAATGTATTCTGAATGCATGATGGTATTTTCCCAGTGCATGTTGTTTCTAAGACAGTATCATAATATTTTTCAAGGCATCGCTCAAACAAATCTGCAGGGGGTGTGATGTTGAAACAGTTACAGTTTGGCACCTGATCAAGAAGAGATTTGCTCAATGCAAGCAAGAATTCATGTTTATTGGCTGTGGCCTTCTAACTCCTGAAATTCAAAAATAGAGACAGGTCAGTCCTGTCCACGGGAGAATTTAATTTAATGAACATGAGTCTGCTCCAAAGATTTCAGCCAAGCTGCAGTGATCAACCAATCTATTATTTTTTATTGTTTTATTGTTTTATAGGTCAACCAATCTATTATTGACAGGCTCCTAGGGAAATGACCAATCCATTCTTTAATATTCTATTTTTTCCCATGGACTTTTAGATTATTATTTTTCCTAGTACTGCTCTAACAAAAAGCAAGGTATATCCTTTCCAGTTTGTTTCAGCTAGCTAAATCTTACAATTTGTGTTTGGCATTACAATAGGGTTCATAACTGAGTTGGCTTGTGTATCCATTTCCTTGACATCCTTGGCAGTATCATTCTCCATATACCATCCTCTGAATAGTCATTCCCTCCTGATTCTCACCACCACCCACCCTAAACACTTTCTCTAAAACAAAAATGTCAGTATCTATGTCTGTTTCCTGGTTGGTCCAACTGTCTCTCTCCATTGTGGTTTTCTTCCATATTTTCTCAGCAGCTAAGCCTCAGAACTGAATACATACATATTCGATCAACCAGTAGCTTGTTTGGTTTTCTGAATCCCATCTTCTAGAAGGTGAAGAATTCTTCCACTTTTGATCTTGCTAATGCAATCAATTTTCACAAATTCTTAGATGGATCACCTCCGAAATAGTTCTCTGGCCTATGGGGAAAAAAATGTTTTTTTCCAAAGGGGGTGTAAAAAAGAACTATCTATCATGGTACCTGTTTTGCCTCTAGCAACCAAGCAGAGAAAAAGTCTGTTTAGGACAGTGGTTCCCAACCTGTGATCTGTGGACCACTTGTGGTCCACACAAACTAAAATATGGTCCGCAGCCTCACTGTTACAACACCAT